TAATGAGGTAATCCAGCATGTCCCAAAAATCTTAGTACAGTTTAAAGCTTCAATAGCTTAAGAATTTTGGGATACTCTGTATTTGTAAAACACTTTGCAAACTATAAAGCACTATATGCTAGGTATCACTAAAGCTATGATCTAGCTCTTTATGACCCCATTTGGGGTTTTCTTGCAAAGTTGCTGGAGTGGGTTGCCATTTCCTTCTCCAGCTCATTTTACAGATGAGGAAACTGAGGCAAACAGGGTTAAGTGACTTGTTCAGGGTCGCACAACTAGGGAATGTCTGAGTTGAACTCAGGAAGGTGAGTCTTCCTAACTCCAGGCCTGGTGCTCTGTGCACTATGATGCCACCTAGCCACCCTTAACAACAACAAAATGACTTGCCCAAGTCCATACAGATGGTAAATTCCAGAGGCAAGGGTGAACCCAAGGCCTTTAACTCCAGTCTTTCTATTACACCAGTGTGACTAGTAGCATTAATTTGAAAGGGAATCAAAGCTGCACTAAAAACAAAATATGCAATTCAGAATTTTTTTTAAATGACTGAGACTAGCTCTATAATTAGACCAAGCTAATGATATTTGATTGTATTCTATTTTTAACACAACACACCTACATACAGTATGCACAGCTTCTATCTAATCTTTACACACCATTTAGTATCAGCTCAGAGTTCATCAAATGTAAGCTTGTGGCTCAAAATTAAAGGTGGTGAAAGTGACTGTTCCAGTTGGTGATACTGCTGGTAGCAGGTAAGTAATGACTGGGAGTATGCTCTTTTGCTATCACTGCTTTGTGAATTAGTAATGGACAGTCTGAAGACAGGAGGCATCCTCTTCTGCAGAGAGGGAATGTTTGCCCAGATGAGTAAGGTGAACGGATGAGATTTATAAAATTACTTTGTGCCCCTGAACTCTGTGAACCCAGGCAGGGCTGTTTGTAGGGTGTGGGGGGAAAGGAGATGGGCTCTTTTTAGAGAGAGGGGTTATATTGGTAAATGTTTAACAACTGACTCATGAAAAAAAGTTCAAAGGACACACTTTTAAGCTTCATTTCCACTATCAACATAATCTCCATCATAGACAATCAACAAAACAAAAAAGCCCTAATTTGTTTGTTGATTTCAGAGGTATAAATGATCACACTGAAAATTTTATAATTGACTTTTACCCTTTGGTAAGAGCTGGCCCAAGCACACCCCTGGCTCTGTGACAGAGCAAATCACACTATGTTTTTCTCTCCAAAGATGGATACTCCCAACCACTCACTCATGAGAACATTTTTTATTTTTTTGTGTAGGTGAAATCTGGTTACAATAATTAATCTGGTTAAATCTGGTTTATTAAATTAAATCTGGTCAAAATAAATTCATAAAATAAAATAATTAAAATCAGGAGAAGAAGGGAACAAGCATTTATATAGCACCTACCGTGTGCCAGGTACTGTGCTAAGTACTTTGCAAGATTTTCTCATTTGATCCTTAACTGCAAGGTAGGTGCTATTATTATCCTGATTGTATGTTTGAGGAAACGTGGACAAATGGAGGTTAAGTGACTTGTCCAAGGTCACTCAGCCAGTAATCATCAGAGGACAAATTTGAACTCAGTCACATTTTCCTGACTCTAAGCCCAATGCCATATATACCATGTCACCTAGCAAGAAGAAACATAAGTGATATTGATAAAAGCAAAGGGGAAGTACTATTCATTCTTATTTGGTGGTGGTGGTGGGGTTGAAGAAGAGTATCACAGGTGGTGATTTTGAGCTGTAAGGGACCTCAGATATCATCTTATCATCCAGTTCTCCTCATTTTGCAGATAGTTAAATTGTGGCCCTGAAAAGTCAAGTGACTTCTCCAAGGTCACATAGAAAGCATATAGCAGAATTGGGATTTGAACTCATCACCTTTGGTGTCAAATCTAATACTTTGTATATGGTACCATATCACCTCAGCTGAGTGTCTATATATATATATATATATATATATATATCTCTGTGTGTGTGTATATGTATGTATATATATGTATATATAATATATATTATATATTACATAATATACACACATATATATGTGCATGTATAATATATGTGTCTATGTGTATATATGTTTAGACATATGCATATATAATTAAATAACACAAACTCGCAGTCTAAATGAACCAGCTGGCTGCATTCCCAAATCTCCCAGCTGCCAGAATCGTGAAACTTAAATCTTTTCCCTCACACAGTATCCTTAGGGATGGCTCTAATCCCTAAATATGCTGCCCTTTCCACGGTGTCCTGCTCTGGCTCCCAGTTTGGAGAGTAACAGATCTCTACCTTCTACCAGAGGTAGAAGCTCAGAGAGAGTATATAAGGAGATAGCCAATAGAACAGGGAGCGTGTCACAGAACAAGTCCATCACAGCAAACCCAGAGCTACCTCTGGGCTGGCAAATCATCTAAGCCACAGACGCCACACACTCCCTCAACTTCCACTCCTGGAAGGTTTCAGGGCAGGAGAACCGTACCTGGGGAAATGACAGACGAATGCCCGGGGCTCCAGCTGTCTCCTTCTGCTTAGCCACAGGCTTCCTCTAAGTCTCACCAGACTCTTCCTCCTGCTCGGTCTATCAAGTTTTCCTGGTACCTGCAGAATTCTGCCAACCAGTTCCTCAAAATATGTCAGTCTTTTTTGGCTCTACTTTATTTCCTTTAATGCCCTAGTTACTACAGCCCTGGGAAAAATGCCAATGAGAGTCACTTAGTACCACTTAGGCCTCTGATGCTTTCTTCCACTCAGGAAGTCCTATTTCACTCTCCTGATACTGTGAGGCCTCAGAAAAGGAAGGAGTTGGAACGTGGGGAGAAACATATCTATGGACCTCACAGGCCTGGGTCTGCTCCTACATTTAGATCCATTCAGTTGGACTAGTGGATGCAGCAGACTCTCGTTACCATAACAGGGCCCCATGACTGCTCCCTGGTAGAACAGTAGATATTACTCCATCCTTATAGCCTCCTCTAAACCTTTACTTATTGTGAAGACCCAACTGAATCCTCAGAGTTTGGCTATTCCCACTCATTTTCCAATTTCCCAAATCCTTTGTTGTGTTGGTTGTTATCAGGGTTAGAAAAACATCTAATTTAAGGGTAGGAAGGTCCTTAGACAGCCTCTGGTCTGATCCTTTCATTTTATAGATAAGGAAACTAGGTCTAGGAAAGGAAAAGGGTTATCAAGGTGATAAGTAGGGTCAGAGTATCATAGATGGAGCCTGGGATATGGCAGCCATTTAATGAATGTTTGTTGATAGATTAGAGGTCATCCAGTTTAATGCACTTAATTTTACAGATAAAGAAACCGAGGCCCAGAGAAGTTAAGTGACTTGCCCATGGTCACACTAGTAGTACGTGGCAGAACTAGGATTCAGACTCAGATCCTAGAGTAGATCAAGAATTGAGATTTCAGTCCTATAGCTTCATCTCTCTTGTTCATTCTATTACAGTACTGGAGTTTGAAGGAGGGAAGGGAGGAGACAAGCAAAAGAACAGAGTTTTAAGCTGTTTTTTGGTTTTGAAAACTTTTAGCTCTTACGTCACTACATTCTCTGGCAGCTTTGCTTATTTACATGGGATATAATTGTTTTCCTTCCTCTGCACGTTCTCTATATAAATGGCTTCCCCCACAGAGAAAAAGTCCTTCTTGTTGTCACTATCGACAATGTGGCCAGCATGGTCTTGGCTGCTGAAAAGTATTGGAAATTGTCAAAATTACATCATGGGTCGCATAGAAGCACTCCTTTTCTTAAGCTGCCTTGTACCGCAACACATTTCATTTTCATATTGTTGACTGACGCAGTATCAGTTCTACATGTTTTCCATGTTATTGGACTGTTTGCTAATTGACCAGGTAGGTCACATGTGTTGGGATTATATTTAACAAGTGCCAGTGGCAAAAAGCCCTAATCTTCTGGAGCAAGACTTTCCCATTGTCCTTTTATGGTCAAACCAGGACTGATTAGCTATGATACAACTAAAATCCCACTTCCTTCCCATCCCATGACAGCAGGCCTATTCTTCACTGTTTCTGGCTGGAAAAAGAATCCATCTGTTCGGTGATATTAAAATGCAAAGAGGTGTTCATATGGTTTGGAATGTTTTATCCCCATCCTTTAAATGCTCAACAATATGTTAGAAACACGAAGGCAATATGATACGTGCCAAATGATGCCAGGGGCTTCAATCATGTGGGCACACACATACTGAGGGAAGAAAAGCTATTCTATTATTGGGCAACCCCTTTTCCCCACTGCCTCTGACTCCTATGGGCCCCCTGGCTTCCTATCACCATCCAAGCTCAGAAAATATGGCTTGGATCCCCTTTTCTGATACCAAATCTGGGCTGCCTTGTCAACACTAGCTTGGTAGCTCTCCAGTATCAAATGCCTAAGATCAATGTTGGGACCTGCTTTTGCCAGTTGGACTCTTTCTTGTTTTAATACTTTTGCTATCTGATGCTTTCCCTTTTTGAATCATCTGTATTCCCTTCTTTTTTGGGGGGGAGTGAGGAAGGAAGGAGAAAAAGCCTGAGCAAAGAGGGAAAGAGCACATCCCAAGAGTTTTTGTATTTGTCCTCAATTCCCAGGCCTGATGCTGGCAGTTATACCCATGCTATTCTAAATTCACCTTCCAACAAGCATCCCTAATCAGGTGATTGGGTTTGACTGGTAGATTTGGAAGCTTTATTGTTCTCCAAATTGGTTTTTACTATGTCTTATTCTTTATGGTTTCCAGGATACCCAGTGATGATGAAAAGAGAGGGAGCAAGTGGTTAGAGAGGACCTTGTCCCTATTTCCCCAGGGGAGCAGATGCCCTCCTTTCTCCTGCTACTTAGTGATCTAGGGATTTTGTGGGAATTAAAACTAGTCCTTCCTTTCAAGAAGCCTGGCGAGGGATGTAGGGATGGGGATGGGGGCTGTATGCTGTTTCTCTCTGTAGGAAGAAGGGAAGATGCTTACTTAAATTGTCTTCATCTTCCATATTTGTGGCACCGGGGCTTAGGTACTTGAAGGGAACGATGAAGGTTGACAATATGCTTACTTTTTCTGGAAAGAAAAAAAGAAGAAAAGGGAATGCACTTTTGACACCAGTGTTTCAGAAAAGCTGAATTCATTCATGTGTCCTTATTACTGATTCTTAGGACAAGAAAGGTTGAAAGATCACTTTGGTTTCAGCTGCTTAATTCTGTCTCAGCCTTTTATCAAATTTCTAGCTGCATTTTATCAAGTTCTTTACTCCATTCAATTTTGTAGTTAATGATTTCTAGCTTTCTTCTTTCCCTTCTTTTGGCATCTTCCTTCCTCCTGCTTCACACTCCTTAAAAATTTAAGCAATAGGCCCTAGGGCGACAATTTTTCATCTTCTTTCAAGATGTTGCTTCGGGACATAGTTTCCTATTCATTTAGGTCCTCTTAAAAAGAAAACATTATTTTAAAAAGCCAGTCTTAGACCACTACTCCTTTTTTTTTTTTATCCCAAATGGAGACGTTCTTCAGGAGTTGAGATGGAGGGAGGAAAAAGGAAATAGAAATTCTACTGTGAAATCTAGTAATGCCTCATCCCCTAAAATATCTGCTGGATTGTACAAGAATAAAGAGGAAGAGGAGGGACAGGGGTATGTGAATGTAAATGGAAATTATTGTGCTGTAAGAAATAATGAAAATAAGGAAGTCAGAGAAACATAGGAAGATTTACAAGGAAAGATGTAAGATGCACAGAATTAGGAAAATGATATATTCAAGGACTAGAATCTAAATGAACATATCATTAAAAGGAAAATGAATGCTAAGTAATGGAAAAAAAATACCAACGAAGGTCCCAGAGAATAGATGCTGAAACACATCTTCTCTGGTCAGAGAAATGGGGGACTACTAAGGCAGAGTTTTATATACGTCCTCAGTTGTGATCAAGGTATTGGATACTTTGTTGCTTAGGGTTCAATCTGTGAACAGTTTATCATAACTACGTTACAAATACAAAAAAGCAGAGAGAGAGAGAGAGAGACAGAGAAAGACACAGGGAAAGAGATGGAAACAAGAGAAGGGCATTTTGCTTTGCGCGCATTAACAAGGGAAACAGAATTATAACATCCAAAAGGGAAAGTGGTGCAAATCTCTCCCTTGTTCCCTAGCTGCCTCTATCTTTCTAGACAGATGATAGATAAATAGATAGAAAGAACACTTATTCAGTGTTTGCTACGTGCCAGGCATTACACTAAGCTCTTGGGATACAAATACAAGCCAACAAGCCCATCTCTATCCTCACACAGCTTACATCCTAATGGGAAAAGCCAACACAAAAATTTAATCCTAATGATTAAAAGGTCGAAGGAGGCAGACTCAGAGAAGCCTGGGAAGATTTGTATGACTTGAAGTAAAGTGAAGTGAGCAGGACCAGGAGAACCAAAAACTTTGAGACACTTTGTTGTTCAGTCATGTGTGACTCTTTGTGACCCCATTTGGGGTTTTCCTGGCAAAGATACTGGAGTGGTTTGCCATTTCCTTCTCCAGCTTATTTTATGGATGAGGAAACTGAGGTAAACAGGGTTAAGAGACTTGCCTAGGGTCACCCAGCTAGTAAGTGTCTGAGGCCAGATTTGAATTCAGGTCTTCTTGAATTCAGGCCTGGAGCTCTATCCAATGTGCCATCTAGCTGTTATTAGGTCATTATTTCCCTTTTTTTTTTTTTGCTGGAGCTTTCAAGGGTAATGGAAATATTTATATATGGATGATGTACTAAGATACCCTCTGTCCTCTGTAGAAGTATCAACTATATGGGACCAACTTTTCAGTAAGGCAGAACTGAGTCAGGAAAACCTGAGCTCAAATCCTTCCTCAGATCCTTACCACCAGTGTGACCTTAGGCACCTCACTTATCCTATCTTAGCCTCAGCTTCATCATCTGTAAAATGGGGATAATAATAACACATACCATCCACGGTTGTTGTGAGGATCACACAGGGTACTACAGAGAAAGTTCTTTGCATGCCTGATGCTAGCTGTTATTCAAATAATTTGGGTCATTTTTTTCTTCTCTAGTAAGGACAGTTCTCTTTTCATTCTGACACTCGGGTATGTTATAATGCTCCAAGCAGCTACAGTTGGTAGTTCTAATTTAAACATTTTAACCTGCCTATTGGCCAGGGTTGTAGGTTTGAGTGTGCTCTGGTGAAGCCTCGGGTCTCTTCTCCCATTATCCTTTTGTTTCCTGAGAACACGGGAGCAGCAGCGAGGGCTCCCACTCAGAATTCATTCACCAACTTGCTTACAGCTATTGTTTCCAGCGGAGAGAGGCCGGGCAGCAGCACAATGTTCACCTCAAACCGAACAATACATAACCGCAGTCCAAAATGACTTCCTTATTGGGCCTGCCTAACAATGGGAATCAGCTCAGATAAGGGTTTTCGCTCCTGTGAACTCCTCTCCCAGCTCAAGCTAATTTATAACCAGAGAATGAAATCTCTTGCTTGAGTTATAATTTCATTAAGGGATTCCAACAATGTTATGAACAGTGAGTGTGAAGTTCAAATGATTTAGTCAGGAGAATCTAAAAATGAAATTACATTTATAACATAGACTGGGTATAGCCATACCAAAAATATGTTTAACCATCTTAGTTCAGGGCTGGCCCTAAGCAAACCCTGACACCAATTGGTACAAGGTGAAACCTGCCTATCTCTCCAACCCCCACCACATTTTTTTTTCTCTCCTTCCTAGAATTGTAACTGGAGGAAGTTAAGTGGCTCAGTAGATAAAGCACTTGGCCTAGAGTAAGGAAGACCTGAATTCAAATCTGGCCTCAGACACTTACTACCTGTGTGACCCTGGGAAAGTCATTTTACTTCTGTTGGCCTTAATCCACTGGAAAAAGGAATGACAAACCACTCCAGTCTCTTTGCCAAGAAAACCCCATGGACAATATTGGTGTGCTATGGTCCACAGGGTCACAAAGAGCTGGACCCTACTGAACAACAAAACAAGAGCTGTCACTGCTCTGACACAATGGAAGATGCCTGGACTCCAGATGTAAATGACCACAAATCCCATTTAGTTACTTTTGAAGCAGCATGTTAGCAAAACATTTTTACATATAAGCCATTTTTATATATAAGGCTGTTTAGGAGGCAAGGCTCTAACTAGGGTGAGGTGGTCGGGGCTTTAACCCTGGTTGCTGAATTTAACAGGTGATGAATTTTTCAGCAGCAGAAACAACAGAGTTTAGTACTTAGCAAGAGTAAATCATTTTAAAAATAGCTACCATATATATATATATATATATATATATATATGTATGTATGTATGCATACATATGTGTGTGTATATATGTGTGTATACACACATATATAATACACATATACATATAAACATATACACATATACATACACACATTTATATATATGTATATATGTATGTATATATGTGTGTTTGTGTGTATATCTATATCTATCTATCTATCTATACATATATGGTTGTATTTTTCTTCACCCCATCTTAGCCTCCCTTTATCCCTAGTAACGTCATAATTGTGTCCTGGGGTCTCTGTCCCCCCTACCATAGGGTAATATCCCATTGTTGTTCTGTTATTGTCAGTCATATCCAACTCTTCATGACCCCATTTGGGGTTTTCTTGGCAAAGGTACTGGAGTGGTTTGCCTTTTCCTTCTCCAGCTCATTTTGCAGAGGAGGAAAATGAGGTAAACAGCGTTAAGAGACTTACCCAAGGTCCCACAGCTAGGAAATATCTGAGGCCAAATTTGAACTCAAGAAGATCGAGTCTTTCTGATTCTAGGCCTGGCACCACCCATCTACCCACCTTAAATGAAGGTACCTTTTGTGCCACCAGCCCTAGATGAAAAAAAAATCCTGATTATAATTCCTTTTGCGGGGGGGACAGAAAGGGTTCCGATTTTTGCTCCATTTTGTCCACCTCTACCTTGAGTCAACTAGTGCTTTTATGTGCTAATTTTCTCTTGGCTCAGCAAATTGTGTCCCCTAGAAATGTATCAGTATCAATCATTTACCCCTGACAGTGAATTTAATTTGTCTTAGGGCCTTTGTGTTTTAAACCTTATCCCTCATCATGTGATGGAAAGCTCTGAACATTGTTCAAGGGATTTCAGGCATCAGTGAACCCCTTGGAGAGAAATTTGGGGATTGAATCTGTAAGAAGAGGTGCTTACCTTTTGGGGAACCATAATTAGCTTAATTAACACTAATTAACTTTGCATCTTACGCCTATATTCTGCCAATGGTTCTATAGTCATGTGGCAGGGAACAAGGAATCCTGTGATTAAAGGATGGATCATGTTGTTATTCCTGATCTCCCCACTTTCATAGAAATCACTAAAATCCTTCAGGGCCTCAGTATCGTTAGCTACAGAAAGACTACATTCTGCCATGGCTAGGTACACAACCAGCCTGGGATAAGAAGACCTATAGCTTTTTTCACAAAGTCCTAGTGTAATTTACTGCTACTACACATATCGAAGCATTTATATATTGCCTTAAAGTTTGTGAAGCACTTGTATAAATGTCATCTTATTTTATCTTCACAACAACACTAGGAAGTAGGTGCTAGTATTATCCTTATTTTATACATGAGGAAACTGAGGCAAAAAGAGGTTAAGTGACATATTTAGTAAATGTCTAAGAATGGATTTGAACCACTGTAGCTGCCCCAATCAACATGAATTCCTTTCTTCCTTTCCTTCCTTCCTTCCTTCCTTCCTTCCTTCCTTCCTTCCTTCCTTCCTTCCTTCCTTCCTTCCTTCCTTCCTTTTTGAAGTGCCTACTATGTGCCCTTAGGCAACATGCTAGGTGCTAGGGATATAAAGGCAAAAGTGAGATGGTCTGCCTTCAGGGGAACATTAGTAGGTAGTATGTCAAGTTAAATTGAATTTTCTTCTTAGAGGTGATACAGATTATAGTTTTGCTAGCCATTGGATATATTCTGATTTTCACAGCAGCCAAAGTAAATGTCCATTGAGTACAATTTCAAAACGTAGTCATCCTAAATTTAAAGAAATTTTCTTTTTAATGCCATTTA